CTCTTCTGTGATAGACCCGAGATGCAACTCCTACTTGTAGTAACCTAAGTACCTAGTGTGATCACAGACTGGCAATGCGTTTTTTTATTGTACAGCCGTAGTCATACTTTGTATCTTGGCTTTCTTGCTTCAGAATTAGATTGTTCTTTCCGCGCCTTCAGGAAAATCGCCTAGCTCTTTACTTAAGAACCACCGATTGTGTGCAAGGTTGGGTCGCAAAGCGGCGATCGACTTGAGCAGAGAGGACACATGGGACAAAAACATAAACTCATGTGAATGAATGTTAGATTGCCCAAGCCAAGCGCACGATTCATATGAGCCAAAACCTTTCATCCACGATGTCATCTAAAGATCTTCAATTTAGAAAATTGAGCCGTAAGTTTTCAAGGTTTGGATGTTTGGAGCAGGTTGAGCAATGGTGGACACTCGGCACTTGCATCATTGGCCAGCTGATGAACACGAAGACAGCAGTTGCAGAAAGGGTAAACATGAAATGTCATGATAGCCTTGAGATACACATCTGTTCACGACGAATCCCAAAGTGTGTTTTTCTCTTCGGCAGGATGTCTGCGGAAGTCGGAATCTCTTAGATCAGCAATGGTTGAAAGCAATGCAATGCTTCCTGCACAAGATCTCACTTAGCGTAAGCTGACAGAAAGTTCATAGAGTTGAAGTTGGCCGCTCGGAATGTGTGCGCTGCGGCTTGGGTTGTGTCTGGTGAAGGGGCCTTTGCTCTTGGTCGCAGAGAGGGGGCCGCATCTGCGCATTCACGCCAATGCAGTGTGAGCCGCGTCACAGGCAGCAAACTCACACTTGGAGTTAATTACCCAGGTTTGCGTTTTTGCGTTATAGAACAGCTCCATGACAGCAAGTTGCACGAGGAAGAGCAAGCAGGAAGTGCGGCAATCCTCCTCGCAACCCTGACGGGTGCCAAGAAGGCCACCCTCGTGGAGGCACTGAAACGGGGAGCAGGTAGATTGACATCGAGGGCAAGAGATGCTAAGTCGTGATGCTGAACAGGTTCTCTCTGACCGTTTTACGAATGCTGTTTCACGAAGGTCTGAAACAAGTCTCTTGGAAAAATCCGTCAGGGAGCTGTACTCATTTTGAGTACTTTTCCTTGTCCGCACCCTCAGTCAAAGCAGCACCCTGCACTTGTTATTGGAAGAGCTACCGTATCGTCTGACAATCCAATGTTCTTGAATTCCCAAAGGGCTCTCCTGATTTCTTTGGCGAGGTGGAGGCAAAGGTTCCTGATGGCCAGTTCGCTCCTCTTTATGAGATGGCACTGCAAGGTGCCCTGGCCCACTCGAAATTGCGGTGTGACTGTTTGCTTGCTGTTTGGTTACTTCTTACTTCAGCGAGAGAGCCACGAGTTGCTCCAACATGTGAATAAGGCCACATGGCCCGCCCAACAGCGGCTCATCCCCCAGTAAACAACGTCGAAATACATGCTATACAGCATGATCAGCACCTTGCTCGTGCCTGATAAAGTATCTCAATTATGGCTTCCCATGGTAGAGTTGAATGGGCTTAATGCTTGCGGGGAAGGACTTACCAAAAACACCCAACTGAACACCCAGTCTAGGTTGTCTTGTGATTGCCGAGCAGATGAGGACTGCTATGCATGTCGCCAGCAGGTCGTGGCCTGTAATGTGTACATTGGTTTACAGCCACCGAGGCGACCTAACATGCGTTGCTTCTTGAGCAAACGTCTGCTGTGAGGCTCAAGTCAGTTTTGTCCGCATGGTGTCCGTGGCACAATCTAAGAATCCAGAAGCCATCCTAAACTGAAAAAGCTTTTGTGTGCCACTGCAGGTATTGCTGGAGACATCACGGTCACCTCCAATCCCCAATTCCTCCTGACCCTAGCTGCGAATCTGCTCAAAGCCATTGAAGCACCTTGAGCTGTGTATGCCTGGAAGCCCGGTTCACATCGCCAATTCCCCTTGAAACTCCCATCCGCACGAGGAGCTGCCTCCTGGAACATGCCTGTGAAGGCTTCTCCCTGCGGCGGAGCCTCCGGAGCGGGAAGAAGGCCCACGTCCCGGTCAAATGGCTTACAAAGTATAAATGAGGCCCCTATTACAGCAGCTCGCCGCATGGGAATGACGAGCCCTGCTTGTGTGGTTCCAAGCCTGGCACATCAACAAGTCTCGGGTCCGAGACTCTCCGACACCCGCAATTAGCTCAGATTAAGGGCCCCAAGATTGCTTGATCCCTCCGGCAATGCCTTGGCTTTTCGGAACCTGTGTAGGTGGCGTAAAGCAAGTTCCACTTCCAATTCACACATCAGTCCTGTTAGCCCGCAACTGGTCTAGTAGGAAGCATTTCAGTAGTTTGCGATTGCCCACCCTGAAATCGAGCAGGTGTGATCTCCTGGTTGTCCATGCAGCCTAGCCATGCGCCAGAGCAGATGAAAAGGAATCTGGAGCTCGGGTTTGGTCTGAGTTTTGAGCTTCCCTTCGGTTTGCCTGTTGACAGCCTGTGGAAACTGGACTGGCACCGATTCGCACCGATTCAGGGCCTGTCCGCCCAGGTTGCCAGGGACTTCAAGAATTTCATGTGCCTCGGGTTTTGCGGAACCATCACGTAAGTCTGTTGGAGTCTCAAGCTGCGCAGGCCAGGTAAGAATCGTTACGTGGGCTTGAGTTTATGTATTTTTCCTGGATTCCTCTGAGCGTGAGTGAAGGTCGCAACGGATTGCTTTCAACTTTCGTATCCAACACGCCAGGGCAAAAATGTGGGAGATGGGGAAGCAATCCTTTGCAGACTTCGGTAGCGCACCAATGCTGACTTGCAGAGCCACAGCGCCGTGTGCTTGTCATCAAGCTCCTACTGCTTGGTGGAGCAGTCCAAAGACTCGTAGTTGCAATTTGAAAGAGGGCCTCCCCATGGTTTGTGGAAGGTATATACTGTGCAAGCTTCAGTCGCTGCAAAAACAGATGTCAGCCGCTTGACCCGAGCCTCCCTAGTCGGAGGGGACTCGCAAGATGTTTGACCAGCAAAGTTGTATTGCTTCTGTTCGATCGCCGTGCGCTCTACAAGCCATGTCAATCTTCATAAGTCCAGACCCTGGCAGAGGATTTGCTGGCTGCTGCCTGCATGTGGCAAATTTTAGACAGAGGCTCCAAGACCCCAAGGCCTCGGAATCCTGTGACCCGCTCTTGGCCACACTGAAGCTCCTTGACTTCTTTTCGACAGCTAACTCAGGTGATGGATCTTTCCGCCAACGGGCGAAGGCGAGCGAGGCGGCGTAGTTTGACTTTATGTTTCGCTAGCGTGAGTTACACATAGCTGTTTCTCTCAGTACAGTGCTGCCGCTGCGAGGTGGCCTATCGGTTTCAGTGTTTCAGGTCTTGGTGCTGCGCAGGGATTAGAATGTCTCGTGACTAGGTGTTGAAGTCTGTGCAGATTTTTGGACATTCGCCTGCTGCGCCGCAACGCGGTGCAGAGCGATTGAACTGTATGTAGTATTAGGCAACTTATGCTCACAGTCAGACCTCGAAGTCGGTGCCGACAGCCACCACGAAACTTGTCAAAAACACAGGAAGCGACCGAAGCAGCCAGCCCGGGGACCCAGTTGACGGTGACTTGTTGAGGGCTAAGAGGGCCTGAGCATGAGGCTGAAGTTTTACTTTCTTATTCCTGGCTTGGCAGTTGCAGGCCAGGCATTGAGGGGTATTCCATCAAAGTGCTCGACTACTGAGTTGACTGTGACTAGGCTTTTTTGATGCTTGGAATTTGGGGCACCTGAGGCTCGCGACCTATGGGGCCGTAGTTCTCAAATCCTGGGCCTTCACCCCTGAAGCCAAAACCCTGCGAGCGGACAATTGCAGAGCACCTCAAGTACTTTGTCCTTTCGTTAGTGCTTTCATGGCACAGTGATCCTGAAAACAGTCGGGCACTGCTTGCTGAAATGGTGGTGATCATGCTATTTGACTTGAGGACATAGGAAGCATTGACGGAGGCAAGAATACATTGTTACATTGATGTGGTTGTTGGCTTGAGCAGAAGTGTACCCGCCCTTCCCTTGCAAGCGGTGAAGACCCCTGCGGGCTAGTAGCCGCGTGTATCATTGGGAGGATGGTTAGTTTCTCTGCAAGACTTTCAACTCTGATGCATGGCACAGAGAGCCAGGACGTCCTCATGAATACTTGCATCCCTAAACCCTAAACCCTGAACCCTAAACCCTAAACTCTGACGCTGCGAGAGGGCGGTTGCAGATGGGTTCAGCAGATGCTGCCTCAATTGCCTTGCCCTTTCGTTGGTGTTTACCTGGCACAAGTAACGTCGAAAATTCTGCGAACATTTGGAGAGTAGTTGTCTTGTATCACACGGTTCCCAGTACCCCCAGCAGGAGACGCAGAATTAAGGATTTCTCGCTTGAGCAGTGGGCTGACTCAGAAATAGATGGCAGCGCTGGGGTGCTGGCCTGCTGGAGCAGAGTTTTGTGTGGAGGGTCTC